TGGCCGGTTAGGGTTTGGTCGAACCCACTGTTCATCTTCCCTGCTTGCTATTTGCGGGTTAGGGTTAGGGTTCGTGTTTAGGTCGATCCAAATCGGCCAAATTGAACCCTCTTTCTTCTGATTTCTTCACCCCGACTGGGGTTAGGGTTCCAATCCAAACCGGATCAGACCCTCTACTTCTCTGTCTTTTCTATTTCTTTTTAGTTTTCTACCCCAAAATAGATCTACACCCTAGAAAGCCTGTCTCCGATACCAATGATAGAAATCTAGAACCTCTAGGTGCAGATCAATGGGTAAATGCATAGCTTAGATAGGGAAACTTGTTCCTATACCTCGCCCCAGCAGTTGCGGCCATAGTGCCGTAGTGACGTGGCTGCCGGTGGCATGGCGTCGTAGTCGAATGCCGTGCGGCGGAGATGCGATCCAGTGGCGGTGATGCAGAGGTAACGGTGAGGTCGGTGGTGGCTTCCCGTCGCTGGCAGCACCATCTCTCTTTAGATTGGGTTAGGGTTTCTCTATGGGTGGGTTACGGTGGCTCAGGTCAACCTCGTAGATTATGCCTTGGCTCCCACCTCCCTTTATGGTGCTATGCGATAGGGACCTACCAACCATTGAGCGGTTGGGCGCCCCCGATCAGGACACTGACCCAAGGGCCCAGGGCCAATTGGTGGAGATCAAACTAACAGATGATGGATAGATAGGGGTCGGTTATTGTTCAAGAAATTATCAGGGATGGAGATGAGGTTAGGGAACTCAAGCTTGGCCGAGCTGAGCTTCTACTGATTGGATACTGGTACATTTGGTGGCAGCGACGACAACTTATTCATGGGGAAGACATCCAAAACCTGTTACGATCGGCTTTGTCATCAATAGCGGCAATCACAACGAACTACTCGGCTGCATCGAAGATGGAAGCAGTGATTAATCAAGGCTAGAAGAAACCTTCAGAGGGGTGTCTGATGATCAATGTGAATGCCGGCTTTGATGAAACAAAGGGATTTGGGAGCTCTGGTGCCGTCATTAGGGATTCCACCATCTCACAGCTTCATACCATATACAGTGGATGCTGAAGCGTATGCGCTGAGGAATGGTCTTCTATTGGCACAATAAATTGATTGTAATGGAGTTGTTCGGCCACATCCTGATGCAGCCCGAACTCTGTGGAATGAACCGTCGCGTCAAGGTATGGGAATGGCCGAAGTCGTCGTCGTCATTCCATCGATTGAGGCGAGGTGGCAGGCACGCCGCACGCACCCTTTAGCTAACAAAGCAGCGAGGTGGCAGCCACATTCTTCGTCGCAAAAAATGCACTTTTTTACCGCATCACCAAGATCTACTGCTCCCTCCGTTCCAAATTATAAATCGCTTTGATTTTTTTAGTTCATCTATTTTACCATGTATCTAGACATATTATTTTATCTAGATACATAGTAAAATAGGTATACCAAAAAAGTCAAAGCGACTTATAATTTGGAATTGAAGGAGTACTATTTTATCCATCATCCATGCATGTACCGCTGATTAGTTCTCTCTTAAAGTTTAGCCCCTATCACATCGTATGTTTAAACATATATATGGAGTATTAAATATAGATTAAAAATAACTAATTACACAGATTATGACTACTTTACGAGACAAAATTTTTAAGCCTAATTAGTTCACGATCTGATAATATGGTGCTATAGTAAAATCTACAGTACCATATGCTGCTTGCGGATTTATTAGGCTTAATAAATTCGTCATACGGGTTCTTAAAGACTTTTATAATTAATTTTATTATTACTATCTAAACACTCCCATGTAATACGACACCTGATATGACACCCTAAACTTTAGCCCCTAGATTTAGGCATTGTTTAAATATAGGGTGTAAAGTTTTATATTGTCATATGAGGTTGTCGTATGGGGGTGCTCGGATGCTAATAAAAAAACAAATTACAGAATCCGTCAGTAATCCGTGAGACAAATTTATTAAGCTTAATTAATATGTCATTACAAATTTGTTACTGTAGCACCATATTGTCAAATCATGGATTAATTAGAGTTAAAAGATTGGGGCTATTGCGTTCTTGTCTCTATTTTGAACCCCAATTGTGATTTTACCTTCATTTTCTTCAACTTTGTGTTTTTACCCCTGCTTTTCCAAAACGAAGGTTTAGTTTACCCCTACTCTGTGAACAGCAGGTAACGGTGTTAAAAAAGTTAAAAGATGACGAGTTTGCCCTTCCGAATATTGCGTTTTTGTCCCTATTTCAAACCCCAATTGTGATTTTACCCCACTTTCTTCCACTTTGTGTTTTTACCCCTACTTTTCCAAAACGAAGGCTCCGTTTATCCCAATTCTTAACTCAGTTATCTACATCCAGATCAAAGCAATTAAAAATTAACAAAAGCCCCGTGAAAAGACAAACTTACCGCTTATCTCTCGGTCGTCTCTCTCAGGGTCGTCCCTCTCAATGCTAGCAGGCAGCGGGCGGCTGGGTGCGGCGGCGGTGGAAGAGCAACGTCGGGCCGTCGGGCGGGCGCAGTGAGCGGGCGCGTGCGGCCAGGCGGAGGAAGCGGTGTGGGCGCGGGCGGCTTAGCCTGACGTGGGCGCGCAGCCAGGCACGCGGCTTGGCCGACGTCACGAGCGCGCCTCATGAAAGCAGCCGACCATGGAGTGTGCTGAGTGATAGAGTCCACTTAATGTCGAAGCACGCATAGGTGACGCCAGTGGACTGGGCGTGGTGGATCAGCCTCCTCCTCGGCGCCGTTCCGCTGCTCGCGCTCGCTGTGTGGCACATCAACGACGTCTGCCACTGCGCCTTCTTCGCGTTGAAGCGTTGGTGCCGTCGTGCGAGGCTCTCGCCGGGCCACATGGGCCTCCCATTTGTGGGCGAGAGCCTCTGGCTACTCTGGTACTACAAGCTCGCGTGCCGCCCCGACGGCTTCGTCCACGCCAGGAGGAGGCGCTACTATGCTGGGGGCCGCGCGGGCGACATGGGCGTGTACCGGACGCACCTCTTTGGCTCGACCGTCCTCGTCTGCTCGCCGGCGGCCAACAAGTTCGTCCTCAAGTCCTCCCAAGACGGCACCTTCGGCATCCGCTGGCCCGCGCCGGAGCTCGTGGGCCTCTCCTGCGTGGTCAACGTCGAGGGCAGCCAGCACGCCAGGCTCTGTGGGTTCATCCTCGCCGCCATCAACCGCCCCGGCTCGCTCTGGGCCATCGCCGAGGTCATCCAGCCGCGTCTCATGGCGGCTCTGTGGTCGTGGGCAGACAAGGGCACCATCTCCGCCGCCACTGAGATCAAGAAAGTACGCATGCATGCTCCTTAATTAGCTATATATTCCGACGCACAGTGATGCATGCTAATGCATTTATTTGAAGCCATAAATCGAATAGCTAACACATGCGCTTGCAGGTGACGTTCGAGAACATATGCAAGATGTTCGTGAGCAGAGAGACGCGCGCTCGCGACGCCGGCCAAGCCACGCGCGCCCGCGCCAAGCAGAGACGCATGCCTGGCTGCGCGCCCACGTCAGGCTAAGCCGCGCGCGCCCACGCCGCTTCCTCCGCCTAGCCGCACGCGCCCGCCCGACGGCTCGACGCTGCTCTTTCACTGCCACCGCCGCCGCACCCAGCCGCCCGCTGCCTGCTAGCGTTGAGAGGGACGACCCTGAGAGAGACGACCGAGAGATAAGGGGTAAGTTTGTCTTTTCACAGGGCTTTTGTTAATTTTTAATTGCTTTGATCCAGATGTAGATAACTGAGTTAAGAATTGGGGTAAACGGAGCGTTTATTTTGAAAAAGTAGGGGTAAAAACACAAAGTGGAAGAAAGTGGGGGTAAAATCACAATTGGGGTTTGAAATAGGGGCAAAAACACAATATTCGGAAGGGCAAACTCGTCATCTTTCAACTTTTTTTAACACCGTTACCTGCTGTTCACGGAGTAGGGGTAAAATGAACATTCGTTTTGGAAAAGCAGGGGTAAAAATACAAAGTGGAAGAAAATAGGGATAAAATCACAATTGGGGTTCAAAATAGGAGCAAGAACGCAATAGCCCCTAAAAGATTCGTCTCGTAAATTAGTCGTAAACTGTGTAATTAATTATTTTTTAGTTTATATTTAATACTCAATATATGTGTCAAACATTCGATGTATAGGAAGTAAACTTTAGAGGAGGAACTAAATAAGATCTTAATCATCACCTCAAACTTGCAATATGATCGATGAGACATTGCACGCTGCAGGGCAATAAACCCGGCCTGAAACAATGCAATTTCAAATCTAAACTCAACTAAACTTTTTAAGTGTAACTAGAAATATGGATAAATATTTGATTATATTTTTAAATAGGTTTATTAAAAAAATAAATTTCACTATTAATCATACTTATTAGATATTAATATATCTTATATATTAATTAGTTACAACTCAGGCTTAGAGCCCGCTTAATCCTATGATCTAAAGTTTAGCTAAATTTAATGAAGAACTACAAATTTAGATCACTTTACGCCAGCTGTGTGGTCTAAAATTTTCATAAAGTAAACTAAACTTTAGACGGCCTGAGCTAAACTGATCAGGATCCAAACAGGACCTGATTAGCTCGTGAAGAAACGAGAATTACATTCTTTTCATACGAGTGAGCACGTGCTGCCCTCCTGGTTCTTAAGAAAAGCTGAAAAAATAACATCGCGCAGCAAGACAGCACAGCACAACGATCTTACGTTATCCATCGGTCCGTCAGAGTCAACGATCAACAGTAGAATCAGCACTAAGCATAAGCTGGAGTCACAGCTCACAAGTGCAGCTTGAATCTACCAATAAGTACCACAAACTAACCGAAGTACTACTACTACCCTGCTGCTGCTACTGCTAGGTTCATTGATTCTAAATTAATTTAAAGATGGTGAACTACCACTACCAGTAGGCTAATTTGGTTCACTAATTGCTAATTTTGCAAAATGCACTAAGAAATCACGGGCAGCGTACCTCCCTTCACCCCGTCGGTTCCTCGTCTACAACGTAATCCGCGAGAACTGCCGTCCGAGGCTGGGCTCCCGCTGGTGCCTCGTCGTCGTCGGCTTTCCAATGCGGCGTCGAATCCTAGACATCGCCAATGCCACCGTCCGGGCGCGACGCGAGCGAGGCAACGCCGCCGCCGCCGGCGGCTCACGAGGTGCGGAGGAGACCCTACCGAAGCCGGACGGGAGCCCCTGGTGCGAGCGCATCCACGACAGGTGCCGCCGCTTCTGCGGCTGCACCGCGTCGACCTCGCCGCGCGACGTCGAGCCGGCGTCGACGCCCGAGCCGCCGCCGCCATCGCGGCCACACGCGCGCTTCCTTTTGGCGCCAGGCGAGGGGAGGAGGGCCGCAACGGTGCCCGCGCATCCACAGCTGCAACCGCTCCCCTCCTGCCGGTGGCGAGCACCGGGTGCCGGGCGCCCGTCGACGTCCATGTCCTCTTCCGTGGCGGCGGCCCGGGCGGCGTCCAGGCTGAGGACCCTGACGAACATGTCGAGGTCGCCGCCGGGCCCCGCCAGGAGCTCGAGCTGCTCGACGGCCTCCGCGAGGCGGTCCACCTCGGCGCTGCAGACGAAGAGCGCCTTGAAGCCCGCGAGGAAGCGGCGGGCGGAGCTGGCGACGGCCGTGGCGCGGGCCGCGTCGTCGAGCACCTCCTGCCCCCGCAGCGCCTCGGATCGGAGCACCTGTAGCCAGGCCGAGAACGACTCGTCCCGCACGGCCGCCCCCGCGCCGCCCTCGGCGGCATCCACCACGGCACGTACCTTCGAGACGAGCTGGCGGAGGCGGCGCCGGCGCTGGTCCACCCGCGAGTGCGCCGACCAGTTAGACTTGATGTAGCGGATGAACTCCCCCAACAGGGCCGATTCGAGGATCTCCATTTTTAAATCGAGCTGTAGCGGCATAATGAGGAGGCGGCGGTAGTGTGGGGGGACTGGGAGAGGTGGGAAGAGGCGGCGGTACGGTGGTGTCCGTGGTGGGAACTGGGAAGGGGGCAAGGGGCGCAAATGTGAGCCGTCTAGGTGTGGTGTGGACTGGTTCAATGTAGCTGTAGTACACCTATGCCATAGCCCTGTCCGATGAGGAGACGGGGAGAGAGAAGTACTCCGTACCCGCAAATCTGATTCAGAGCGCGAGCGGCCAGATCACCATCCCCGCAGCTGGTACTGCCGTCGCCTACCTCTACGGCACCATCTGCGCCCGGTGACGGAGGCCGCCGGCGCCGGAGGAATACCCCGATCTGCTCCGACCCGAAGGTGACCACAACGCCCTTCATCAGTGTCTGGACTGCACGCGTTTGGACCTCCCTTCAACAGAAGTTATACTGCATCGCCGTGACCCAGCAGGCCAGCACAAGGTAATCCCTTTGTTGCACTCCGATCCCCAATCACATGCTCATTATGGTTGCTACGATTCTCACCCCCATCATCTTATATACTACTGTTCAGCCCTGAAGATGCAGAGTTAGTGCATTTGGTTGGATGCAGCAAACACATCATGCTCATTGACATTAGTCCAGGGCCTGTTGACAACTTTCGTTGTTTCAACCTGTTATCAGAAGTCGCATTAAGCTATTTTCAAGTTGGCTAGCATAAGTGATTTTGAATCTGATTCTGTGCTATGTGGTTTTCACAATCCACTTAAATATTAATTGTCGTAGCCTCCTACAATAGGAATGGTTACTTATTTCATGAAAAGAAAATAAGTTATATTCCTTTATGTATATTTTTTTATGCTTTATTCAAGAATCATGTTTCACTATTTGATTAGTTCTTGAATTAAATTTGACCAGATGCATGACTAAATCACATAGTATCTATAGACAGCGTCGCTTGTTTAAGAGAAACAATTATGTTATATACTAATTAAAATCTTAGATAGTTCTATTTTTTTTACCTGCCTTATCCCAAAAAAGTTCCCTAATGGGGGAAAACATTTTGGACAGGCATACTTCCATCCAATCTCCGAAGGGCGGGCCTGGTGCAAGCGGTAGAGTCTTACCGCCTGTGACCGGAAGGTCCCGGGTTCGAGTCGCGGTCTCCTCGCATTGCACAGGCGAGGGTAAGGCTTGCCACTAACACCCTTCCCCAGACCCCGCACAGAGCGGGAGCTCTCAGCACTGGGTACGCCCTTTTTATACTTCCATCCAATCTCCCAACCTGAAGGGCTCCCTTTAAAGGTCTAGGATGCCAGTGGTAAAGAGTGGATATTCCAATTCCGTTCCTGGCCAAGTAATAATAGCAGGATGTATGTATTGGAGGGTGTCACACCTTGCATTCAGTCATTGCAGAGTTTGCTACATAGGTTACTTGATGTTCAATACACTTGATCAAAAGAAACAATCTTGGCCTTGGAATGCTTTCAATGTAAACAGAGTTTGCAAGTTTGAGTCAAAATAAAAGGCATAACTTAAATTTCATAGTTTATTCCATGATTTCATCAGCCTTTTGTACTAAGATATAACACAACCCTTTCTACTCTTTGTATTTTACAGGTGAATGAAATTTAATCAGCTGAGAAGTTTAAGGCATTCAGCACTAATTACTTGTAAGAAATCTGCCTATCTACCTTTAAGGAAAATATTCTCTCTCTAACAGTTCTTGCCAACAGGTGGGTGAACCATAAATATATCAAGAGACTCGTAGAAGCTGAGGAACTAAAGATGGAAATTATTCCAAACCCCAAGGTATATCGCCTATTTGAGTCATTCATGATATCCTTTTGTGTACATCATTTATATAGAAGTGTGCATCAATCAGACTCTTTGTTTGGATTTGTTGAGAACTCTTACAAATGTTGGGTTCTTCTACTAAGAATTTGGCATTTACAGGAAATTGATGGTGTGAAAGTCCTTCAAACTGCAGCTGGAGCAGTTATTCGGGTATGCAAACAACTCCCATCATATGAGGTCTAAGCACTCTGTTTTTGTACATTTTCTTTGAATATGTGCTCTAATACTTGTGTTACCTTTAACTAGTTATTTGACAAAATAATTGGAATTAATGTTCTTGGCTTTCCCAGCGAAGGCTACATCTAATTTGTTGCTTGTGCAGGTATTTCTGAAAGCATCTCAATGTTTTGTTAGTTTGATATAATAATAAGCCTGTTGACAAGTTCATTTTTGTTGATGGCTCGATGCTATCGATGCTAAGCTCGTTTTATTGTCCCCACATTCTGGTCTTTACACCTTGGTTGATGGTTTTGTCATCTGCAACATAACTAGAGCTAATCCAACTGAGACCCTTCGTTTGAGCTTGGACCTGAGTTCAAGAAGGTAAAGCAGTTTGTCTCCAAGATAGTGAAAATATCTTTAATATAATAGAATTCCATCAGTGCATAGAGAATATTCCTTCACAAAGTAGTGTGCTGATGAAACCATTGAACAGTAAAAACTGCAGCCCCTAATAATTAACGGTTTCCTATTTTCTTGCTCGGTTCAAGTCCATCCCAGCATTGTTGACCTTGATAGTTTTGAGCCTGGTGATGTCAGCTTCGGTTCTGGAACTACACTAAAGGTAAACGCTGTGATTGTATAGTTCTTTCTCCTTGGTTCTGTGCCCATTAGATACTTTATGACTTTATAAATGGGCGTGAATACGTTATGCTAATTTTGTCAACCGTTTCTGTCTGTTCTGGTTTGCATCTGCTCATTCCACTATCGCCTCTTCATTAAGCTGCAGCATTTGTGTCAGTGGATAGTGCCTGGTTCATATTGTTGATGTTATCTCGAGGACAAGGTGATCGCCTCCGCCAAGTCGGGGGTGGAGTTGGAGACACCAGATGGAGTTGTGCTTGAGAACAATGTATGATCTGACCTCATTGATATGATAATCCCAGCATCACCAGTTTTTTTTAGTTTTTTATTCTGAGGACATGTCACAGGAGCTGCCACCATAATAACTCCCGTTGAGCTCTGTCTTTTGTAATTGTCATGCGCATTCCGCTGTGAGAGTCTTGTGAGCCCGATACAGAATAGTTGTAATCCTCATGGGTATGTATGTACTGAAGTTTTTAATGCACCAGGGACGTGTATTTTTGCTTAACTGATGCTCCCGTAGCTTTGCATGCTGAAGAGGTGTTGTGGGTAGGTTTGTATTTATCTATCCCTTTTCGAGTGTGATGTACTGATGTCCTGCACTCCTGCTTGAGAATTTTGTTCTGAAAGGTCACAAAGTGGCCAATATATCGCTAGGTGATAAGTGCCACCAAGCAGGAGTACTCTTACGAATGCCCCTCCGTTGCTTGGACAGAGTACTCTTCCTCTTTGCATCTTATTCTCTGTTTCTTAGTTCAACATAAACCTGCACCTAAGGAATGCTAGATTTCAGTGCAAAGCAGCATGGCTCGTTGAAAGAACTGGTGGCACCTGAGTGTGATCCGTTCCTATCCCGTGAAAACCTTTCCATTTCTCCACTCTGAACAACGATAGACACTCCCTCTGTCCCAAATTATAAGGCGTTCTAATTTTTTTTAGAGTCAAAGCATCTCAAAGCATTCCAATTTTGTGTTGTGGGCATGTGGCTGCCCTAAGTGGTTGCCATCTATTTATTCTCATAAATTTGAATCACAACTTACCTCATACTGTTGTTCTTTTGTGAGGTTGTGGAGGATGCAGATGGCTCCCCTACCAAAATTACTTGTGTTTGCTGAAAGGGACAATTTGAAGATTATCAGCCTGTTCGTTTCGGCTTATTCGCTCGTATCTGGCTTATAATCCACGGCTTGAACAGTATTTTTCTCTCACACTAAACCAGCCAGCAGTACTTTCAGCCATGGCTTAGAAGCCGATTCAGCCGAAACGAACAGGCTTATACCCGTTGCTGACTTGATTAAATGAACTTTAAGTATATAAACTTGAGCTCCTGGTGCTTTACATGTTGCCAATTTGCCCCAAAGACAAAATAGTCAGCGAGTAGACATGACATACATCAACGTGTAAATCTAATTTCTAATTTCCATTACATAACAATTTTCTCTTTGATTATTGATTTGATGTGCATATGTTAAGTATTTCATAATTATGCTGAAATTGTGCATTCTGGCCAAAAAAAAAGTAGGTACATACAATTAAGTAATTTCTTCCCTGTTACGTCTTAACTGATCATCTTCTTTGCTGCAGGGTCAGGGTGATCACAGGTTAAAAATCATGCTGAGTCCTTTTCCCTCCTCAATACCGTTGATACTATATTTCTGGTAGATAGAAAATTGTAAATACTTTTCTGTACAGATGACAGCATGTTAAGGTTTGACCAACAAAATCTCATATTTATTATGTCTGTGTCACACACAATCAGTCTGCATTCATATAAACAACGACAGAAACTGTAGACTATTGTTGCCATCTGAATGCGCACATACACACTTCTCTTATCTGTATTCTTTGAATAGTTATTGTGATAACAAGCATACTAATCAAAATTTTTTTGATAACATGATACCCGGTGGTGGCATTAGTGATCAGAGATAGCCTTTTTGTTTCATTGTACAACAGGTATAAATACATGTGTACATTTTGGGCCATAGACCGAAACAACACGGGAATGATCACACTGAGCCATCCAAACGTCGCAGCAACACCGGATATGTTAAAATTAAATCTTTGCTTAGATATTAACATGTAGCTAAGTTAGTATGGCAAACAGAGATGTAGAACATAAGAAAAATTTCTTCTGATGTTCTGATGATTATCTCCAAGTGATGACTATCAAAGAAAATGGGAATATGGTGGTACTGAAATTCCCAGATAGAGTGCATTATATTTCTTCTCTATCTTGCTCCTGCTTTCTAACATTTTTCTTGAAAAAGTTGCATGTTCTATGTATTCCTGGCTTCCTGCAATATGTTTGAGATCGAGGAACCATAATTCAGGGCTGAGCCATGCAGCAGGGTCCTGTGGCTAGTAGAGTCATGTTTTAGGCCCCGTTTGGTACAGATTCTTGGCCGGCTCCTGAATCTGTTTTTCGGCTCCACCTGCCAAACGCTCTGACCTGCTCAAATCTTAGGAAGAAGCCCCAGAATTCCTGCTGAGACAAGGGAGGAGAGAGAGTAGGAGCTGAAATTTGTGGCTTCTTCTGGCTTCCTCTAGCGGTAGCGGGCCCCATCGCGGCCATAGGTCTCCTTTGCCCCCTGTGCGTCTGCGAGGGCGGCGGCGGTGCGTCTACTGGACACCGACGCCAGATCCGCTGGAACAGGGAGCGGGGCCCCGCCCGGGCAACGCGAGGCGGCGGTGCTGATGAGGCGCGCAGCCGTAGAGGTTGTGGGGCGCGCGGGCGGCGAGATGCGGGGGCAGGGCTAGGGCGATGCGCGCTGCTCGGGAGGCGCCAGGAGCCATGGCCTCGACACAGGGAGGCGCGACGAAGCCGACGCACGGGGAAGAGGAACAGGGGAGCAACAACCTACGCGAGGCCTATTCGTGTGCGGGGTGATAAGGTAGAGATAAGGTAGTGAGAAAAAGAAATAAAAGGAGGGAAAAAAAGAAAAAAGGGTATTCTGGACATTTCATCCCATTTCATCGTAAGGAGAAGTTGTTTTGTCAAACGGTCTAAAAAGCAGATTCAGTTCCTCATGTGAATCTGCTCCACAGGTGAAGCCACAACTAAAGCTGTTTTAGCCGGAGCCGGAGCTCTACCAAACGGCCCTTAACAAGCTAGGTTGTAAGTGTGCATTTGAGTGTGGAAAAAATAAATAGGTAACCTCAACTGTACTAATGATTTGACACCCATTTTCATTTCAAGAAACTATTATCTGAATCAACCGACAGGAATCTTTGCAGAAGAACACGTTTAATTTCAATGTGATAAGCACAAGTATTCTAAAGCACTTGAATTACAATCACTTTTGCTGCAACTCATAGCATCTATCATTTCAGCAGGTCCAAATCACATCTATTATCCTTGCCTCCTTGGTATCTATTTAAAATGTTTTGCAAAAGATAATTGTGACTATACGGTTACTCATTTTTGAATATACAAACTGACATTACTATAGATAGCAGCCTCTACTTAGTTATACTCCAAACTATATGTCGGTAAATAAATAGATTGTTATTAATAGAGTGACGCCGGACATGCGCTACGAGAAATGAACTGGCCAGATAGTACGGCGCCGCGTCTGTTTTTATAGTATAGGGCCTGTTTTTCATTCGGGAACCATGTTTTTCGGCTGGTTTCTACACCAGCCGAACGGCCCCAGACTGCTCCTCAAGAAACGAGAAATTACATTCCTTTCATACCGTGTGAGCACGTGCTGCCCTCCCAGTTCTTTTAATAAGAAAAGCTGAAAGAAACAACATCGCACAGCAAAACATCGCACAGCAAGTGCAGTTTGAATCTACCAATATCACAGTCAACAGTCCAATATCACAGTCATCAGTCAACAGTAGAATTAGCACTAGAGAATGGAGTCCCATATATGTCCTGTTAGTTTGGCTGATAAGCCGTGGCTGAAAGTAATGTTGATTGATTTATTATGAGAGAAAAATACTGTTTGTTTGGCTGAAAAAGTATGGCTTATAAGCCAAGCGAACAGGACGATAATAACTTAAGTAGTGATGTGTCATCTAGGTACATCAACTTTCAAACTGTATTTTTTGGTCCATTAACTTTTGGTGGTGTATGATCCAGGTCCATCAACTTTCAAACTGCATTTTTTGGTCTATTAATTTTTGGTGGTGTGTCGTCCAGGTCCATCAACTTTTAAATTGCATTTTTTGATCCCTAAACTTTTTAACTAGTTCACCGTAGGTCCGTACCCCTTCGTTTAGCGAATAGATCTGACATGGCACGCTAAAAAAGCAGCCACCGTGGCCGGTCAACTAAACATAAAATCCAATCTAATCTACCCGATATAAGGCTGAAGGCCACAAGTATAGGCACTCTGGTCACCTGACCCAAACAAAATTCGGACTCCACCAGCCCAACTATGACCGATTGAACCAGAGTTCCTGATTTGGCTAACATGGCACGTCCAAACGCAGCCACCAATTTGATTCACATACATAGGTGCACGCAGGCACTAAAAGCTAAATGCTAGATAAAAGATCGTGTATCACAATTGATAGGAAACTAATGCATGAAAATAATAAAATACTACGACAAGGATGCTAATCACGTTGAAAAAATTCTATTGATGATCTCCACCTCTTTAGAATTGGTACTGACGTATCTTGTTGGCTTCATTTTCTTCTCCTTTCCACGCAGTAATAAGGCACCTATATAAAATATCTTTGATAACAATCTAACAGTCGTCAATTTTTCCATGTCTATAATATATTTATTCTTAAAAATAATAGTTTCAAATTTAAGATAAGAGGATATTAACGAATTACCATCTGTTATATTTAAATTATTATTAGATAAGTTTCCGTGAATATCTTGATGAGCTATTGACTCATCACCTACTCCACGATAGCTGCTTATTTGACGTGCTATGTCAGATCTATTCGCTAGAGCAAGAACCCAAGGGTGCATTTAACTCTTTTGCAAATTGCGAAATCATGGGCGATAGCGTACCTCCCTTCAACTAAGGATGGCAACAGGAATGTACCCATCGGGTATCGTCGGAACGTTCTCTTCCCCGCTATGAAGAATTCATCCCGTCCCCGTCCCCGTTAACTGTCTCGGTTATAGATTCTTGCCCATTCCCTTACTCGTCGGGCATCGGTCGGGCAACAGATACCCGACGGGTACTGCATACCCGATAAACAAGGACACTTGGGGTCGCAGCTTTGTAATCGGAGACGTTTCTTCTTCACCCGGATATAAGTGTCGGAGTCTCGGAGATACCGAGGAGAAGGAGCGAGGTTGCGAGGAGGACGAGCAAAGGTGGCAGAGAGACCGAACTGAGGAAGCGAGGGGCACGAGTGCTCGTGAGGTAGGCGTGCTTGTGCTGCTGGCGGAGATGGTGAGAAAAAATTAAACTATGGTTCCTAGAACACATAAACTATATATATATATATGATTGTTCAGATTTGGGCCAAAATACATATGTTGAGCTTATTTGGGCCTAATACTCGCACGATAGATCAAATAGTCGGGTTCCCAAATAGATAACGGGGACGGGTAAACAGGGAACGTTCCCATACCCGCTATACCCGTCAAGGATGAATTTTTGCCCATTTAAATGACCACGGGTAAAAATATAATTCCATTCCTGTTCCCTAATGGATCATATACCCATCGGATATCGGTCCCGTTGCCATCTTTACCTTCAACCCCCGTCGGGTCCTCGTCTATAACGTAATCGGCGAGAAGTGTTGTCCGAGACTGGGCTGCGGCCGGTGCCTCGTCGTCGTCGGCCTTCCGATGCGGCGTCGAAACCTAGAATACGCCAATGCCACTGTTTGGGCAGGACGCGAGCGAGGCAACGCCGGCCGCGGCGGCTTACGAGGTGCGGAGGAGACCCTGCCGAAGCCTGACCGGAGCCGCTGGTGCGACCGCGTCCACGCCAGGAGCCGCCGCTTCTGCGGGCTGCGGCTGCACCGTGTCGACCTCGCCGCCGCCGCACGCGCGCTTCCTCTTGGCGCCAGGCGAGGGGAGGAGGGCCGCGACGGAGCCCGCGGACGCGCAGCTGCGGCCACTCTCCTCCTTCCGGTGGCGAGCACCGGGTTCCGGGCGCCCGTCGACGTCCATGTAGTCCTCCGTGGCGGCAGCCCGGGCGGCGTCCCTGTCGACGTCCATGTCGTCCTCCATGGCGGCGGCCAGACTGAGGACCCTGACGAACATGTCGAGGTCGCTGCCAGGCCCCGCCAGGCGCTCGAGCATCTCGGCGGCGCTGCAGATGAAGAGCGCCTTGAAGCCCGCGAGGAAGCGGCGGGCGGAGCTGGCGACGGCCATGGCGCGGCCCGCAGCGTCGAGCACCTCCTGCCCCCGCAGACCCTCGGATCGGAGCAACTGCAGGCAGGCCGAGAACGACTCGTCCCGCACGGCCGCTCCCGCGCCGCCCTCGGCGGCGTCGTCCACCCGCGAGTGCGCCGACCAGTTCGACTTGATGTAGCCGATTAAATCGGCCAGCTTGGCCGATTCGAGGATCTCCATCTTCAAATCGAGCTGGAGCGGCACTGTGGCGGCAACGGCAGCTGTTTTTCTTCAATGCTCAATGAGGCGGCGGCGGCAGTCTAGGGGACGAGATGGACTTCCACGCAGAGGGCAGAGCGGAGCATGGCGTCCGCTGGAAGCCTGGAAACGTGGCCGTCACATTCGGGCAACATCCAGTATTTCTTTCCCCAAACTACCCCTGGACTATTCTTTTTCCCTACTCAACTCAGGCCTTGTTTAGATTTCAAGTTTTTTCACTCTCTCTCCATCACATCAATTTTTAGCCGTTTGCATGGAGCATTAAATATAGGTAAAAAAAATAACTAATTGCACAGTTTAGTTGGAAATCACGAGATGAATCTTTTGAGCTTAGTTGGTCCACGATTGGACAATATTTACCAAATAAGACGAAAGTGTTACTATTCATCGGGTTGAAATTTTTTTCAATCTAAACAAGGCCTCAAATCAAATCTAAACAAGACCCAACTCAGGACAGTAATACAAATACGGATGGTTTTGATCACGAATACAATTAAATATAAATCAAATGTGGGACGAATAAGATGTGAATAATGCCAGTCACAATATTTTTGAGATATTAGGTAGAAGTAATATCAATTTTATTTTGTGTTGTACAAATTCGATTGCTCCATCTTTTACATTTCATCTAAAAGTTATTGATCCATAATGACATCTTTATGTTCCAATGTATAGTGTTCCCAAACATTGATCTTTGATTCTAATATAATAAGGGGCTTACAAAGGATTAAGACATTCTACGAGGGGGGCACAAGAGCAACCAGGGTGCAGCAAGCAACGTTCAATATTTGAGAATTCAGGCTAGGTAGTTGTTCTTTTTATATAATTATAGCTATTTGTATGTTAGTCGGATATTTTTTCATATTGGTTGAATATATACCCACCTAAAATGTCAGATATCAAATATGAAACTAATAATGGTTAAATCGTATTTGTATTTCATATGCAAAATAAATATCGTTATTCGTATTTAATATCAAAGAAAATTATGAATATTTAAACTAGCAGATGCCCGTCTGGCGTCTGTTGCTACGGGAGTCTTCAAATTTTCAAACGCATAAGAGTATGAAAAAATAATAAGTCAAAATCATCCGACAAATAAATTTTAACTCAAGCTTAACAATATACTATTCTGAGCCACACTCAAATAAATAGTTAGCTTCATGAGCATATCCCGTGTTTAAAGGACATCATGCAGGTCATAGCAAGCTTCATGAGCATATCACTCTCGCAGTATGCATCCAGTGACCTCTCCTTGATATGCCCAAGCAATTTTGTTGCGGCATTTGCGTACTTTTCAATCATCTTCCATTTGGGGAATGAGCTTTAAGCATTTATGAGATGCTTAGTGTTACCAATCAAATTAGTGCCATCAAATTCGAGCCCAACCTTCCCACAGTAGTGCATGGGTTCACCTCGTCCAATCCTGCTTGTTCGGCAAAAAGATTTTCCATTATTGGCATCAACTATCTGAAAGATCTTACATTATTAAAATTCATCGAAATTCTTTATTCAAGACTGGTTCTAAAAATCTCTTGAATCTCTTGAGAGCACAGACAAGATAGGTATAAGTATCTAGGAGATTTAAGTAAATAGTAGCAGGAAATGGCATCGGGACAAGTACACTGTCATTGAAGTAACTGAAGTAACATATTTGGTCTTTTGCTCTGTGGCTTTCCTGAGAAGAGCCCCCTAGAAAACATGTGAAAAAGATCATTGATCATATCTCACTACTTAGCATATAGCTGTATTGTCATCATTTTCTTAGTTTTAACAATATTTAGATCAGGCCTGGACATATTTCAACTATCATGTCTCAGCAGCACACAGAGAAACATTAGTCTGCACCCTTATAGCATGACAATTTATTGTCCTCAATGTGTTAATTTAGCCTGACAAACAAATAGACATATTTTTTAATGCATTTGAGGCAAGTCTAGTGCTATACCACTATGTTTTACAAGTTCCAATAGGTCTATGTAGTTGCAGTCCTGCCATTCCTGGTAAACTAATTGAACTATTTTTTTTTTCAAAACAACCTAAGCCCCGTTCGCTTGCAGGAATCTGGAGAAATTTGTGTGAGAAAATCAGCCGTGAACAGTAACTTTCAGCCGTGAACAGTACAATTTTTGCACCATCCGAACGGGGCCTAGCGTCTGCCTTTGCCTAAAACACAAGCACAAGCAAGTTACCAGCACAGGTGATAGATTCCGCTTGCCATTGGTCTTATTCGCCTACAACTTGGCATCCCCCTCCTGTGTGGTCCTCTGCTGCTTCATGGTAAAGGCAGGGAAGATGATGGTTCTGTTCACCAGGGATTCAAGCTGGTCAGGACAGTGCATGAGCAACAGTACACCACATGTTGATGCTTGGAAGAAAGCAAACCTGGGCTCACTGTGTGGCAGATGGACGCGCTTATTGGGGCTGCCGCCTTCTTGAATGATCTTGGAGAGTTGAGATGAACTATCAGCCGTGCGCTAGCGTTGTGGTGATCTTCCCTGAGACCCATTTTTTTGAATTTCGTGGTTCTCCTTAATATGAAGCAACCTGTTTGCAAAGCTAAAAGATAGATTAGGCAAAGTTCAAAGCACCACCCATATATGAAAGCAAACCAGAATTTTTTTTAAAAAAAAAACTTGCATTAATAGCTATACAGTAACTTGTACTCTTTGCCGGACCTTTTTTTGACATATAAATCGCCCCCCTCTAGGTAAAGTTCAAAGCATCAGATTTCTCTTACAAATTTGCAAGTACAGCGAGTGCTGAATATATATATATATATATATATATATATATATATATATATATATATATATACACACACACACGTATTGTTCTGTACCTGGTCGCAGAATAAGTTATTCTGTGGCCACTTTGACTTACGATAATTACTATACTAATTTATGAGATTATGATAACTTCCTCATAAGTGATTTACTATAGCATTATGATAAATATCATCTTGAATTATAGTAACTCATGTATCGTAAATGTGTATTGTTATTATCGTAAATTGGTACAAACATTATTGTATAGACGTACTGTTCTGTAGTTGGCCGCAGAATAAGTTATTCTGTGGCTACTTTGAGTTACGATAATTACTATACTAATTTATGAGATTATGATAACTCCCTCATAAGTGATTTACTATAGCATTATTATGGTAAGTATCATCTTGAATTATAGTAACCCATGTATCGTAAATGTGTATTGTCATTATCGTAAATTGGTACAAATATTATCGTAAATCAAGGTGGCCATATAATAAATTATTATTCTGTGGCCAGCTGTAGAATAGTCTTACCTATATATATATATATATATATATATATATATATATATATATATATATATATATATGTATGTATGTATCGTATTTCTCCATCCAAATGATTGCTGTCAAGTCCAATTAGCATGTTGTGGTGCTCACTGCTTGTGTACAAGCCATTTATGGCAGCAAACATTGACAAACAAGAAAAAAATACAATGGAATACTATGATATTTGAGGATGGAAATTAATTAGCACCAGGGGAAAAGTGTTCTGATTACCTCCTTCCCTAGCTGTGCAATCTGATCTGCCTTCCTTCATGTCTCCATTGCCTGAAATGAACCACGACAACGGTAGAAAATTCAACGATAGAAATCCTGAAACACAAATCCTACCCACCCACCACAAGCACCCACTCGAATAAACAACATTATGCAAGAGAAGTACCTTTTCATAGAAGTGTCAATGCACTCATGCTTCACCCGCTGTGACACCACCACACTGTGTTAGTCGCTGAATTCTTACTTTTGGTAGTAGCAGAATTCTTACTCTCATCGAGAGAGGATGACGCTAGGAGTTGGGGCAATTTTCTGATTTATTTCTCAATGCCATGCCAACCTGAGGGGTTGGGGATACATATTTATAGGCTGCTAGCCAGCCAAGCATATGCCAAGATGCTAGTCTAAGATGCTGTCCTAGATGCTAAGATGTTGTCTTAGCTAGTCAAGGATGCTGTCCTTGATGGGCAGCAAGACCACCATGGGCAGCAAGACCACCATGCTGCTACAGTCCCACAAAGACTGTTGCAGCCCCACAAAGACCACAAAGACTTATCCATCATTCTCCCCCTAAGTCTTGTGCGTCGTCTTGTGGGAAAGTTGAACCATCCCGATCCTGGAGCAGAGCTCAAGAAACTTGATCCTCCCAAGAGGCTTGGTAACCAGATCCGCAAGCTGGTCCTTGGTGTTGATGTAGCTCGCCTTGATGCTCCCTTCCTCCAAACAGCCTCGAATGAAGTGGTACCTCACCTGGATGTGCTTACCCCGTTCATGGAAAACGGGGTTCTTTGCCAGGGCCAGAGCGGACTTGCTGTCCATCCTAAGCTCCACCACTCTAGTGTCTCTGTCGAGGAGATCACCAAGCAGTCGAGCAAGCCAGAGCGCCTAAGTCGAAGCGATGGAGGCCGCTATGTACTCGGCCTCGCAGCTGGACAGGGCCACCACCTGCTGCTTGACCGACTGCCAGCTAACGAGGCACTTGCCGAGGAGGAAGAGGATCCCGCTCGTGCTCTTGCTGGTGTCGATGTCGTCGGCGTGGTCGCTGTCGCTGTACCCGACGAAGTGTGCTGCCCCAGGACACCTAGGGTAGTAGAGGCCATGGTCGAGAGTCCCTGCAACGTAACGAATGATCCTCTTCACAGCCTGTTGGTGCTCCATCGTCGGTCGCTGCATGAACCGACTAACGTAGCCGACGGAGAATGCCAAGTCTGGCCGTGTGTGGGCGAGGTAGCGAAGGCTCCCCACAAGACGCCGGTACTGCATAGCGTCCACCTCCTCCGTCGTGCTGGCGTGGCTCAGCTTCAGCCTCTCCTCCATCGGAGTGAGAGCTGGGTTGCAGTCGGTGAGCCCAGCTAGCTCAACGACGCGCTTGGTGTAGGTGGTCTGTTGAAGCGTGATCCCGGAGTCATCCTGG